CATTTATTATACATATTTTAATAATTCTATCAGACGTACCAATTATTATTATATAAGCTATCAAGTCAGTTGGTAGACCTGATAGACATTTATATTTATATAGACATATCACGCATAGTGCGGTTGCAGCATAATGACACAAATATTAATAATATTGAAGCGTAAGTGCACAATTTCGCTTTTTTTTGTTATCAGACATTAAGATAATACTATTTGTTCTATAACGTGTATTTCATTTTTTATCGTGTAGTAAAATGCATAAATCATAAATCGCAAACTAATTTACTGCATGTTCAATTCGAATAGATTGTAAATAAATATTGGATGACATATAAAAAAAATATTGAATCGTATTATTGATATCGCAACGAATTACTCGAAATATGGACATGAAACGTAAATGTTTTCATTTCAAAACTTGCACGCTAATAAAGCGGAACGGATCGATTTAAAAATAAAACGCAAATGTGCAGAATCATTGCAAATTTTGTTTCTTTTTTGTTTGTTTTATTTCGTTTCATTACGGGACGGTTGGGCGATTCAAATGAGGAAACGGTCGAAGGGCGAAGTTAATGGAGCCCTAAATTTCCTTTCGGGAACGCGTTATTAATCAATATTAGTTATATTGACGGTGTAATTGGGATAAGGCCCTATTAACAGCTTAAAGCCTATTTAGTTTTATGCGCTGCCATAAATCGCGCGGGATGCCTTAATACGCTCGCAAATTATACCTTTTTGTCGATACATTCACTTCGGAGCACCCTTTGCTGGTGGTGCAAATAACCTGAAATGCAAATTTCCGCATTCTCTTTAGAAAAATACATTATGTGTAATAGTGATTCCAGTAATTGTATTTGTTTATTTTATTTATCCTTTACAAAAATCAAATATACGAGGGCAGTTTGAAAAGTTTTGTAAGCGAAAAGGAAATAAAGGAGATTTGTGGTTCCAAAATTTATATTTCAATATAATCTCTTTGTACCTCAATACATCTAGTACATTTTTCTAATAATGCTATACCATGTTTATAATTATTTGCATTAACGCTTTTTTTGTGGAAGAGAGGAAACCTTACATAGGGTGGAGTGGTGGTACTGTGTGATTCTTACCGCACAAAAACCTTTTCTCTTCTTCGTCACTATATCACAGTACACTTCTGCGATGTCCTTGCCTGTCTGGCACTTCCCTTGGTTCACTTACTCAGTGCTGTTTTCTCTCCGCTCATCTTCTTTTTCGAATAGCATCTACGTATGTTGCTATAATCTCCCAGCTCTCTGCACTCTTCAGCATTTCGATGACAAAATTTTCCGGCTCTAGCCTATGCCTCGTGTTCATTCTAACCCATCTGCAGCACCTAAAAACGTGTGCTCAGGGCTGTAGTCCTCCTCACAGAACTAGCATGACCAGCACATTTTGTCCTCGTTCTTTGCGATAAAGTGCAGGTACTTGCCGAAGCATCCATTACCATGCTACATTTTTTTTAAATTTTGGGAATAGTGGAATGCGCTGGATTCAAACTTTTATTCGTTGATTTTCGCCATGGTCAAAACACTTTTGTGAGCTGGTGTATTGTCTTGGAAATTGATTATTTTATTTTTCTATAAACAAGATCTTTTTTCATTTTTACAGCTTGTATAATATTCTAAGTTAATTATTTTACCTTTATCAAGATAATCTATTAAGAAAATTCCTTTTGTATCCAAAATAAATTAAGCTATAACATGGAACTGTTTTTGCATTCTTTGGTGTACTTGAACCATTGTTTAAATGTTTCTTTCATCTCTGGAGTGTAGTGGTGAATCCATGTTTTATCCATAGTTACAAAACGACGAACAAAATCAGTATGAATCTTTTTAAAATGAACCAAAGACGGTCGAGAATGCGTTTGTTAGTAAATCCGAAATCTATCTTGCATATAGCTTCTTCATCTTTAATTCTACATGCAACATATGGAAAATTAGTTCTGTTGAAATGCTTATGGCATCAGCTATTTTACATGGTTCTTAATAAACGCTTCCTATTTGTTAATCAAGGTATGACTGTATATACGTTTAGAAGAAAAAGATAATAATGAGAATATTTACTGAGTATTTAATTATAATTATCTGTAATAATAATAATATTTATTGCAATAAGTCATCATACTACAAACCGAATACCGACTATAGGTCTTTTCTGTTCTTAAATACTTAAATTAAAAAGAGAATAATATAAGATTTTAAAAAGCAAGAATATAATCAAAAGATTTTATTTCAAATCAATTTTTTTTATATTTATTTAACGATAAACTGGATTGTATTTAAGCAGATTACGATAACTAACTATGTTTATTTTTAAGTAATAGAAAATTTAAAAGTAAACAAAATAAAATCCAATTTTACTTTAATAAATTTACATGTTTCACTTTTCAACAAGTAAAGTACTTAAACAGAATGAGCAAACGCGAAATAAACAAATTTAAGTAAATAATCTTTGAACTATTGACATTATTAAATTTGAGGCATTGGTGTACAATTGGATATATTCTTAAATGATTGAGTTATTTGGATTTATACCAAAAAAAAATCAAGTTAAGAGTAGGATGTGGAAAGCGATGTATGTAGTTTAATAATATTATGTAATTTGAATCTGCGCCGACGCCACTAATGTTTACGACATATATAATGTTTATCAACGGATTAATTTAATCAGTGTGAAAAATGGACACAGGGAAATTTCTGTTCATCGTCACTTTTTTGATTGCGGTCTTCGTGGGTGTTAAAATTAAAGAATGCAGTTAAAGTCCGCCGATTCCGACTGTGCCAGAACCCTACTGGGGCCCAGGTAAAGAGGTCAAAGATGATACAACAATTAAACCATTCAAAGTCAACATATCCGATAATGTAATTTAATTAAATGTAAACAGCTAGAAATTAGCATGATAACACTTAACTGTTGCAGGCAATAGATGACTTGAAACAGCGCCTTCTCTGGCACCGATTGATTACGAAGTCTCTGGAAGATTGTTGACTTCAGGAGAAAAGAGTACGATTGGCGAAAGCGAAAAGACATCCATTACATACACGTTAAACCTGATACCATTTTTCAGAAAATTCCTCTACTTCTCCCGGTTGGCCGGGTTCTGTTCGGGAATTCTAAGAAATAATTCCGAATCTGACTGAAGTTCAGAAGGAGTTGGGTGTTGAAGAATCTGATGGTTCGTTTAGGTTACAAGAGGTACTATATTCAAGGTGGCGATTGGGGAAACGTCCTGGCATCGACCATGGGAGTATTGTAGTCAGACTATGTGAAAGGAATACACAATAATTTGTGCATAAATGTTAACCCCGTCTCTTATGTAAAGCTGTCCGCGGCAAGGTTTTACCCTACGTATTTCATGACGGGAAAAGAAGCAGAACGCATGTATCCACTTTCGGATCTTATGTCGATGTACATATTGGAGACTGAATACTTACATCTGCAAACCACGAAACCTGACCTGGTTTGAACGACGCTCCAGTTGGATTAGCTGCTTATATCTTGGAGAAATTCATTATCGGTACCAATTACGATTACAGGAATCGAATGGATTAAGATAAAATTCGACTACAACAAACTCTTGGATAATGTAATGATGTATTGGGTGACAAATTTGATAACAACCTCCATGCGCCTCTACTCTGAAACGAACAATGTTGCCTAAAGAAAATATTACATGGATAGGTAAATAAACAGTCAGTAAATTTTCAAATTAATATTGTACTCACTCTTTCCAGAAGAGAAATTAAAGTACCGAGCGCTTGTGCCCAATTCGTAAACGAATTGCTTTAGCAATCCAAGTGGATCCTCAAGGATAAGTATTTGAATATGGTTCATTTGAAGAACTTCGATGAAGGCCATCGCTAAGATGGAACTTCTTGAAGCCACCAAAAAATAGTACTGCAATTTTGGAACTCTATACCTACATAATTAATATAATTTATTATGTTACAAATAGATATTTTTTAAAAAATATAATTACGTTTTGTATTTGTATTTTATTTATGGATAATTCAAAATAATATGAATTCTAGTTAACTGTATTAAAATTTTCCATACCGGAACAATGCCAATGTTAATATACTAATTTCAAGGATGATGTAGCAATCACTATGATTACTGTATTTGTAAGCTGACTTTAGACTGATCTTATCGAGAACATAATGAAATATTGGAAAGATAACTACGACTGGTATAAAGTACATGGTTCTTAATAGACGCATCCTATTTGTTACATAAGGTATAACTGTATACGTTTAGAATAACATGAAAATAATGAGTATTTTATTTTAAGTATCTTTAATAATAATAATAACATTTATTACAACAAATCCCCATACTATAAACTCAATAAAATAACATAATAAGAAAATAATATCAAATCGATTTGCTGCTCTTAAATTCTTAAATACTTAAATTAAATACTTTCAATAATTTATAAGAGTTTCAAATCAAAAAGAGAACAATATAAGATTTTGAAAAGCAAGAATACAATCAAAAGATTTGATTTCAAATCGATTTTTTTTTATCAATTCGAGACGTCCATATGTTTATTTAACGATAAACTGGAATGTGTTTAAGCAGATTACGATAACTAACACTGATTATTTTGAAGTAATAGAAAATTAATAAATAAATAAAATAAAATAACAACTTAGTTTTTATAAATAGACATGTTTCACTTTCCTACAAGTAAAGTACTTGAGCAAACGCAAAATAAACAAATTTAATTAAATAATCTTTCAACTATCTTGACATTATTAAATATGAGACATTGGTGTACAATTGGATATCATCTTATATGATTGAGTGAAAAGGTTATGATTCTCTTTATAATTTGTTTAAAACTTATTTGGAATTGTATCATAAAAATCAAGTTAAGTGTAGGAAGTGGAAATCCATGGATGTAGTTTAATAATATTATGTAATTTCAATCTGCGCCGACGCCACTGATGTTTACGACATATATAATGTTTATCACCGGATTAATTTAATCAGTGCGAAAGATGGGCAAGTGCGGAAAATTTCTGTTCATCGTCGCTTCTTTGATCGCGGTCTTCGTGGGTGTTAAAATTAAAGAATGCAGTAAAAGTCCGCCGATTCCGACTGTGCCAGAACCCTACTGGGGCCCAGGTAAAGAGGTCAAAGATGATACAACAATTAAACCATTCAAAGTCAACATATCCGATAATGTAATTTAATTAAATGTGTACAGCAAGAAATTAGTATGACAATACTTAATTGTTGCAGGTATTAGATGACTTGAAAAACCGACTTCTCAGGCACAGATTGATTACGAAGTCTCTGGAAGATTCGAATCACCATTATGGGATCAATTCGGCGCTCCTCAGTGAAGTTGTTGACTTCTGGAGAAATGATTACGATTGGCGGAAGCGAGAAGTGTACCTGAACAAGTTTCCTCAATTTAAGACGCAAATTCAAGGACTCGACATCCATTACATACACGTTAAACCTGATACCAATATTCAGAAAATACCGCTACTTATCCTCCACGGTTGGCCGGGTTCGGTTCGGGAATTCTACGAAATCATTCCGATGCTGACTGAAGTGCAGAAGGGCAGGAACTTTGTTTTTGAGATCGTGGCTCCTTCTCTTCCAGGTTATGGATTTTCTGATGGCGCTTCGAAATCGGGCTTAGGAGCTGTCGAGATGTCTGCAGTTTTGAAAAATCTGATGATTCGTTTGGGTTACAAGAGGTTCTATGTTCAAGGTGGCGATTGGGGAAGCACCTTGGCTGCAACCATGGGTACCATATATCCAGACTACGTCAAGGGAATACATTGTAATATGTGCATGAATTATAACCCTGTCTCTTATTTAAAGCTTTTCGTGGCGAGTTTTTACCCTACGTATTTCATGACGGAAAAAGAAGTAGAAAGCATATATCCACTTTCGAATCTTATGTCGAAGCACGTATTAGAGAGTGGATACTTCCATTTGCAAGCCACAAAACCTGACACATTAGGCGTTGGTTTGAACGACTCTCCAGTTGGATTAGCAGCTTACATTCTGGAGAAATTCATTATCGGGACCAATTACAGTTACAGAAACCGCATGGATGGTGGGCTTAAGATAAAATTCGACTACAATAAACTCTTGGACAATGTAATGATCTATTGGGTAACAAATTCGATAACAACTTCGATGCGCCTCTACTCAGAAACGGTCAACGTCGCCCAAAGGAAATATAACATAAATAAGTAAATAAGCAGACGGTGAATGTTCAACTTAATAGTGTACGCATTCTTTTCAGAATCGAAACTAAAGTACCGAGCGCCTGTGCCCAATTCATAAACGATTTGTTTTACCAACCCGAGTGGATTCTCAGGGATAAGTATGTAAATATGGTTCATTTGAAGAACTTTGATGACGGTGGACATTTTGCTGCGCTTGAAGTTCCCGGGGTGTTATCCCAAGACATATTTGAAGCCATCACCAAGATGGAAGTGCTTGAAACCACCAAAGAATAGTACTGCAAATCTAGTACTCTAAATTAACATAATTTATTATGTTATAAATAGAATAAATTTTAAGTATAATTACGTTTCGTTCTTATATTTTATTTATGGAGAATTCAAAATATTATGTAATTATTATGAATGCTTCTTAACTGTATTAAAATTTGCCATTCAGTATGAATTTAAGAAATTGCCAATATTCGTATCATTCCATGATATGAATTCCAAGAGTACTGTAGCAATCAATTTGATTGCTGTATTTGTAAGTGTAGCTGTTCAGACAGAGCTTGTCGAGGTCATAATGAAATATCGGAAATATGACTATGACTAGAAGAATTGCTAATAGTAACTATTCCATTTGTAATGGCCCGGATACATCGATGCATTTTACGATATCACATGTGTAAACAAAGTCTCTAGAGGTCGGCAACCCATGGCTCTGGAGACGGGGGCTCATTGCATTATTAATTGTGGCTTTTTTCCTAATTTGTTCTGTGTCTATTTTCGTTATTGAATTATCTACTTATTATATAGGTCGGCCACTTTCCGTAGGTTGAACGTCACTTAGAAATATTTTTTTTTACTCCCAAAAATGTTCATGAACCCTTTATTATACCAATGGTTAACTAAGTCTAACTGGGAAGAGATTTTACATTCGAAGAGATTATTCCTTCCATACATTCATGTTATTATATAACGACAGTTTTCAACTTGTGTCAAAGTAAGGAACAAATATATTGAGTCTCGCGGCAAATTTGTTGTCACTACTTAGCGGTTTAGAAATTGTTGCGTCCGCGTTTTCATTTATTTCAGATTAGTTTCAAGTAACATAAATATCAACCAAATGATTTTCGAAATGGTTTAAAATAGTTCAATCAAGCAGACATACAAACAAGCGAACGCTTCGCAATAAACATAAATAGCAAGCAATAACTGATTGATTTATACCAAATTGCGAACCGCGTTTCGAACCCAAAACAAGTTGCGACCGATTTGCATATCGCTGCGCTAGTATCTGGTTGAACTTCGAACTGCGAGCTAATTTCCTCCCGGTCCATTGAAAATTTCCATTTGGAAAGTTCGTTTTAATTTATATCTACGGCACGCGCAAAACTCCATGCATGCACAAGCCATGGTATGGCCATGTTTGCCCATCCAGCTTTTCCATTTCCCTTCCGCCGTCGTACTTTTACTTTTTCTTCTCTTTCATTCTTTCTTCTTCGGCTTGTATTTTCTTTCGTAGGATGGGCCCGACAAATTTATTGCCATTGTATTCTATTTTTCTTACTTCTCAGACACTTCTCGTTGCCGAGACACAAAAGGGAGATCGCCCCGTGCACCTCCTCAACGAAACTTTTTCGGCCCTTATTCATTCCAGCATATTTATGCCTGAAATATAAATCCCTCAAGCGCATCCCCTTACTAAGCGAAATAAAATAATAAAAAAAAAATATGTATATGTATATTTTGTATATACAAATACGTAAATAGGGATGCAGCATTTGCATTTATTCCACTCCCAGATCCAAATAAATTAAATTGTTTTTCAGACCACCGCTATGTTAATTTAACATTGACTCGTCTTTTTACTCTATTTACACTAAATACAGAGATACCTCGATTAACGAATTTACTTCGTTAAACGAAACTTCGTTTACAGAGGCAAAAATATTATGGCTATAATGAATTGACTTCCTTATTAAAAAATGAATCAAAGAAAATTTTTATTAAATAAACTCGACTTTAAAAGAGCAGAGAGCGACTAATAGCCAAATGGTTAAGTCGCCCTACCCACGATCTAGTAGACACAGGTTCAAATCCTGGTCAAGCCAGGCCATTTGTAAGCCCTCTCGGTGCTTGCAGCAATAGGGCCATCGTTCATCACAGATGGACAGTGAAATGAATGAGGTTGAACATATGGACCTTCAGCCAAGTCGAAGAAAATAGTGGAATCGCAGAGCATCAATATACTACTATACAAGACAATCATCATAATGGTAAACTATCCACCGGGAAAGATTATCCAATTAATGTCAACCACGATCTTAAATTTACTCAATGTTCACATTGTTAAATAGATTGTGAATAAAATTATATGACATAAAAAAGAGCAGAGCTGTTGTTCTTTCTTTCATTCTGCATACGGTACGTCACGGCTCGTACGGTAAACGGATGGATGCATCAAATTGATCACCATAGATGGTCATTCATTCAATTCTATTATTTACATAATATTATTTACTGTCAATTTTCGAAGAAACTACAGTAAAACCTGATTTTGTGTATAAAAAAAATCGCACAAATTAAAATCGCATAAAAAAAGTCTGCACAAAAAATAGGTTCTACTGTATGTCAAATGTAAAAAAAAACTATAGTAAACTGTTAAATGTCAAAAAATCAGCACATATAATTAAAAATGTTAAATGTGCAAAAAATAGCTCATTTTTGCAATTAGTTCAGACTTTAACTTTCCAGTCGAGTTTATTTAATTAAACTCTTTTAAGAGTTTTTTTCTTTATCTTTGTTTTAAGAATTTCCTTAATGAAGTTAGTGCATTTAATACTGATCACTTCGAAATAACAACTCTTCATACATCATGACTATTTCAATGATTATGTACATTTTACAGGCATGAACTTCTTAATTTTGTCTTTGTTACAAATAAGATTTTCTTACGCTTTGAAGGCTCAGAAATTTAAATTTTTAGATCAAATTCAGACAACTGAATCAGACATTTTCTACTGCTCTATCAAATTCATTCCTTTCCACAAAATTTTCTAGAAAATTATAATAATGCTCCACTAGGCATATTCAAAAGGTGCTTTGTTATAACAAAGCTTCGTTATCAAAAGTAACGTTAATCGAGGTATCACTGAATACCTGTACTCCAACTGAATTTTTTTTTTACGACAAAACATATAATTAAAATTCTGTACATTATTTTTTCATTCACACGTAACAATACAACATTTTTTTACTCTAGTTTCTTTACGTAATTAATAATGTGTTTCCTTTGAAAACAAAATCTTTTTTATTATTTATTTCTTCCTTTATTTAGCGCGGAGAGATCATCAAATGGGATAACAAGTGCGGCGTGCAATGGCGCCGCGATGAAAGATAATCTTATTTCAATCGTTCCTTCAGGATCTGTACTGAAATGGCCATTACCGAGCGCCAAGAGTGGAAGATTATTCACTGCAATACACAGTCGCCTATCAAAAGACTTTTCCGCTTTTCAACTTATCCTTCATTCCTCTTCCTTTATTTATTTATTATTCTTACATTTTTGTGCTGCATTCCTTTTCGCTTCTTGCATTG